TTTCCTGTCTGAATCCAGCACAAGAGTTTAAGGTATACTCATACAGCAGTTCATAAAACTGTTTTAGGGAATCACAGTTCTTGCATCAGGCACAATGCATTGACTGGAAAGGGAACATAGGTGACAAGCGTACCTTAGATTCCTAGCACAGAAAGAGTCTGAGTGAATTTCCTCTACCTAGAGTACAGCCTCCTTACAAAATTCACATTGCAACTACTAGTTCTTCCCAGCCATGAAGGACGGCTAGCAAACAGACTTTAAGAACCTGAATTTTAACAAAATAATCTATAAACTACTTTATCAAAGCCTATCTGTAATGTTGAGAAAAAGGTAGCACAATTGAGGCCAGATACCATTACAATACAGCTTATACATACATAGGTAAGACAGGTACATACATACATTTGAAATATTTACTAAATAAAGAGAATACAAATGAAAAACAGTAGGGGTTTTTTTGGTATTTTTGTATAACTGCTTAGTTGATGGTCACCTGCACTGGAACTTCCTCCTGAAGTCAATTAATTTTTTACACTAACAGTAGCACAAAGCAGGAGCCAAGGAAGAACAGGATATGGAGGAAGAAATAATACATGCTTCCTTGGTGTTATTTCTACTGCTCTGAAATAAAACACTGCCTTTGGAAAGAATTTTTTTTTTAATACAGCATCACAGAATGGTTGAAGACAAAAGGGATCTCTGGAATACACCCGGTCCAAACCCCAAGTGCAAGTGGGCCACCTAGAGACAGATGCCCAGAACCATGCCTGGATGGCTTTTGAATATCTCCAAGGATGGAGACTCTACAGCCTTTTTGGGCAACCTGTTCCAGCGCTCCATCACCCTCACAGTAAAAAAGTGTTTCCTGTCTCCTGTCCTGTCACTGGGTACTACTAAAAACAGTCTGGCTCCATCCTCTCTGCGCTCTCTCTTCAGATATTGAGATACATTCCTACGACTTCTCTTCTCGTGATTAGCAGTCCCAGAATCAGAAAGTTGTGTTACTTTTAGTAAAATTACAAAAATATCCAGATTGATCATATTACCCTCTATTATTAGTGTCACATCATTTACAGTAATCAGTAAACTGATGTAAATTGCTAACAGTGTCAATGAAAACTCATTTTAGACAATTTTTCAAATTTACTTACTTCAAAAAGGTACTCTTCTAAATATTGGAAAGTGTAGTACTGAGCTTCAGAGACTTTGTTTTGCATCAGAAAACTTCTATTATTGGTGAATATATGAGTTACATGGTGCTCTGCATTTTGAGATGAACATATGGTTGCCCCTCCAGCCTGAAGAACTCTAAACAAACATATTTGGAAAGATGTATTTACTTAATTATATTAATATTGCATAAAGCTACATATCATTCACAAACTACAAGCATGCAAGTGCGAGAGAATAAGGGTTCTAGATGTATGACACTGCCCAAACTTCATTGGGACGATATAAGGGTGCTTAATAGCCTTCAGAAAAGCAGAGAACCCAATTAACAAGACATCATTCTCTTCACAATTTAACACTATTAATTAAAATCAGTGTACACCACCTACATATCTGGTAGAAAGCTTTATCTAGGCACTTTTTCAAAGATCAACTTTGATTACAGCAGCTACAATTTATTGCAGTCTGTTCCCCACGCTGATGATGGTCTTTCAATTAAGTTTTGCAATAAATTAATCAGTTTACCAAAACTGGAACACTGCTTTTCTGAACTGTAGCATGGTATTTTCATACTGCAAATAATTTTTTGAATTAATTTTGGAGTCATTTACAGCATCTGATGTTGTACAACATCATACACAGATAATAGATCTGTTTGTCTTTGGGACACCATTACATGTAATAGTTTCCCCAGGGACAATTTCCACAGCTGTACTGCTGCAATTATTTCTACCTTTTAGAATGATGCCAGACAAAAAACGGTGACAGAAGTAAGGTATCTTGACATGCTGGATATATGTATTATTTTTCATAATCCGAATTATGAAAAGGACGTTGGTCACACACTTACCCATCCAACAGCTAAAGGCACGAAAAGCATAGAAGGGGGAAAAAAGTCAGTGTATTGTAAATATTAGAGAAAAATCCATCTATCTTCAAAGCTACAGTGGCCTTTATACTGAAAACAGGCCTTGTTGGAGACAAAAATATCTACCTTTCGGTGTTTTCTAAGTAAAAGCATCCCCACGTTGGTGCACAGGAAAGAGGCTGGTAAAGAGAGACTCCTTCCACAAAACCGCCTGTTCACCTGTCTTGCTGATACAGTTTCTGTTACAGGTTATTTCTACCGCCGAGACTTGTGCAAGACAGCATTTCAATAGTGTTATCGTGAAGATCTGCATAAGCATTTTACACGGAAACAGTATTTTTCACAAGTGTAGCAGGATGAGTGCATCTTTCTGCAAGACAGCACATAACAAACTTACAGTGTGCTATTTGGCTGAGTGAATGTGTTCAATCTGCAACATCAGAAGATGGTAACTTCAGCTACACCTCACTTTGTCTTTATGAACTGCAGACAGGCATTCTGCAATGCAGCATGCAGCCCTGTACCATGATCAGCCAGACTGAACCTCCTTGTTTGCCTGTGCCTCCGTGGAATGCCCTGACTTCAGAAGTACTCCTAACTGACTGGGATGTCAATGGAGGAGAGTTGGACATTAAATTCACTGCAGGAGCAGATAAAGCTCTAAAAGTGTCAGGGAATAGTTCCTTTTACTGTACCAGAACCAAACATTACTTCATATGTTCTGTGATTCAAGGTAGTATTTAAACCAAGGAATCCTAATGTGTAGGAAGAGCACAGGTCACATCAAAATAAGTAGTCCCAGAATTCTTGCGCTTTCATTATTTTCCTTTATACTTTTGTCCTTCCCCTTCTGAACTGTCTGTATTTACACCATATCACAAACATCTGTTACAGCACAAATTAGGTCTTCAGGGGTACAAGAAGCTATTTCATAGACGTGACACAAAAAATGATCAGGTCCGTCACAGTGTGGCCCAGACCCCTAAGACACTGTTCACAGCTGCCTCAGGTCACCCACCCAAGTGAAATAACATAACCTGTTCCAGCTACCATTTGAATGTAACATCCACACAAAATGAATGATTACTAATAAAAAATATAAGTCTATGTACCTTGTTGAGGATGTTCTCCAGGACTATGGTCATGTAGAGAATCCCTGAGCCTGAGCAACATTTAACAAACGTATAAAAAGGGCATGTAATTTCGCAATAAATTGGCTCACATCGATCATATTGATCATGGCGTGAAGTCCGTTATTTTATCCCTCGCAACAGTACCTTGCCTCCTGAAGCAAGTTTCTGTAAGCAGTTTACTTAAGATGCAAACATAAGTAGCATGGTGTCCAAAATAACTCAAAGCAAGAAAAGCAGTGCTGTTGAAGATTTAAAGGTTTATTATAAAAAAAAAATGGAAGTATATTAATGAAAACAATTCCGTATGAAGAGCTGGAGGTTGTTACAGACCAAATAAAGTGAGATGGAAGAACCACAAGGTGTTCAACCACACAGTAAGTGTTCCACTGTTCATTATTTAAGCTTGAAGATATATCCTCCTACCTTCTAATACATGCCATTCTTTCATCATCTTCCTTAGCAAGGAGGACAACTTTCCATCTGTGGAAGGCCCCTGGAGCACCAGACCGTGTTAGTTCTTCACGCCATCTTTTAGGTGCAGACTGCATTTGAGGTGAATAATGGGTGTCTTTTTCAATTTCATATCCCCATTCATACGTTGTTTCATCAAGCCATCTGCCACTTTCGGCACTATTAATTATGTACTCCTTGCTTAGTATCCACTTTCCTAAAAAGCAAGTGAACTGTCAACCACAAAAGATTTTTTGTGCAGACAAATGGCAATCAACTGAAGATCTAATATAAAATTAACTTCAACCTTCTTCTACAAATAAAAGCGGGAATTTTAAGTACCATTTTAAAAAGGTCTTCCTAGTGCAAGAGTTCTCCTCTTCACTTTAAAATCAGAAATCTCACAATGCCACTGAAAATGGTAATTTTGTTTTCTTTTAACCATGAAGTACCTTTTTACCTTTCCTAGATAAGCATACTTGTCTGTCTCCTCAAAGATCTGCACATGGAATTTTTCAGCTTTCCAGATTTAATTCTTAGGACTTTTACAGAACCTTGCTGAACCTTTTTATTTTTACTATCATTTGACACTTTCACGGATGTACTAAAACGTAATAAACTGAAGAAGCATTTCACCACCAATGAGTAAAAAGACTGAATGAAGGTTTTCGCATGTAAGCTGTTTCTTTTATATATTCTTAATATTACTTGCACTGAGAGTGTAGTGAACACCAACATTAGGGGGATTGGATTTTAGACTTTTGTCTTTCCCCTTTCTTCTTTTCACACCCTTTTCTCTCATCCCTTGGCTCCACCTCCTCCGCCTCTCCTCTTTCATCTTCCGCATGTATGCTTTTGATACTCTATGTAATGATCTTCCCCTTTTTCTCTGTCTCTCTCTTCTTACAGGTACAGGTCAAGAGCTGTGGTTAGTACCCTGCTCCCGTATTGAAACACTACCTACAGAAGATACTGTAAGAGAAATTGACTTGAATTGTGTGAACCTAATTGGTTCACAGAACAGCAGGGTTGACTGGCAAAATGTCTCAGTGCAGGAGCACAAATGGCACTTCTACCTAACCTAGCACAGGTACCGTAGACTTATGACTGCAAAAGGTATGCTGTGCACAACCTGTATGTTAAAATCACTTTCATTTCAAAGTTTCCATCTCAAAACTTCTGTCAGCCTGGAAGTCTGTGAAGACCTGCATCCTTGTTAGTATTTCTCTTCACCTCTGAAGAGTTCTAAATGGGCTTAAACATGATCTTTTACACTGCAGTAGAAATCAACACACTCTCTCTGCCATCAAAGGCAAGAGCAATGATTATGCATAACTTCATGATGTAACAAATGTCTAACTAAGCTTTCTGTTTAGCAAGATGCAAATCAAATAAAGGAAGATTAAGAAAAAATTCAAACCAAAAATATGTAAATGAATATAATACTATGTGAAAAATCAAGGTCACTGGAACAGGAAGAATGAGGGTTAGTAAGACAGTTCATTAACAAAGTGAAAAGATAACTAGAAACATTTTAAGGGTCCTTTTCCAGTCCTATGTTATGATCCTATGAAATTTTACAGTAAGTCTTTTACTCACCAGTAGCACAGGCGGCTAAGAACTTTTCACTCTTGCACAGCTTTTTTGCTATAAGATGTGTACAATTTCTGTATTTCTAATAAAACAAAACCAAAACACACTTGTATCACTGTAAACAGTTTGACTTTCTTGGCTATTTATACACAACTCTAAGCTACTGCGGAGTCCTTTATTTTTAAGGTCTACCTAATGTAGCCATCAGGTGCTTCAGTGAACAATACCTTATTATCCAAGAAAACACAGTCCAGTATGAACAGACATTTCAGTAGTACCACCTTCTCTTGCCCTCTAAATCCAGTTAACTGGATTATTCGTTTCTGGCTGCCACTTGCCATCTGTTAACAGGAAAACAAATGAAAAGGAAACATTAGCACACAAAATACACATCACGAAAAGTTGCTTGCATGATCTTACTAGCACTTTGTGATAGGTTAACCTTGGCTAGAGGGCAGGTGCCCACCAAGCCACCTTATAACTCTCCTCCTCAGCTGGGCAGAGGAGAGAAAATATACAGAAAGGCTCACAGGTCAAGGTAAGGACAGGGAGAGATCATTCACTAATTACCATCATCAGAAAATAGGCTCAGCTTTGGGAAAATAATTAATTTATCATCAAAATCAAAGGAAAGAGAGAACTAAAACCAAATCTTAAAACTTCCCCTCTACCCCTCCCTTTTTCCTCAATCACTCCTGTTTTTCACTACCTCCTCCCCGAGTGGCACAGGTGGGTCTCTCGTCTCCCCAGTGACCCCCGTGTCTGCAGGGCACAGCCGGCCTCGCTGACGGGGAATCTCTGCTCCGGTGCCTGGAGTGTCTGCACCTCCTCCTCCTCCATTGACCTGGGGAGATGCAGGGCTGTTCCTCTCACTCTGTCCTCTCTCCACCTGCAAAGATCTCTCCTCTTCTCTTTGGTTGGTCGTTTTTTCCTTGTTTAACACAGTATCACAGGCGTGTTATGACTGCCA